TACTTCTGGTTGAGCTCTGATCATCCAGTCACTGAAGCCAGGATAAGTGGGTATTATCTGCAAGTGTGGGTGTTCTTATGCATATGCCCTCTCTTCTTATTAGCTGGATACTTCACTCTTCATTCTAGTCCTCTGTGGCTATGTCACTGACTCTGGGCCCAAGAGTTCCCCAGGTCTTGCCACACTGCTGAAACAGATCACTTCTATGGGTGCTCAATATTTTGGCACCTTTGAACTCAGCGACACTGTCAGAACAGAACGAAACACTGCCTGGTCTTGCCCCATCCTCACAATTGTTATGTTTTTGGTTTTGGTATGGTGGCGTTGTGGGTTAAGTATTGGACTGTTAACCTCAGGTTGGAGGTTCAAACCCACCAACCATTCCATGAGATAAAGATAAAGCTGTCTGCTTCCATAAAGATTCACAGTCTTGGAAACCCCAAGGAGTACTTCTTCTCTGTCCTGTGGGGTAACTATAAGTCAGAATTGACTCAGTGGCTGTGGGTTTGGTTCTTGGTGCTATGCATATAATTTAATAGGTAGAATGGAAGTTTCAAGCATGAACCTTCTGAGTTTAATAGCATCTTTCATTGACCTTCCAGCACAATGATATCTCTAAATGTTTTTGGTCATATAACCCAAGGTCACATAAGTGGTTATTGATCGAAGTCAAGGCCCACGCAGAGTTTGTAATGCTTAGTAAGTTGCTTTCGGGTCAGCTCTGAGTCTTGGTAACCTGATGTATAGCAGAATGGAATGCTGCCTGGCTGTGCCCCGTCTCCACGATCCCTGGTGTGATTGAATCCAGCGTTGTGGATGTTGTCAGCCCATCTCATGGAGGGTGACCTTCTACTTTATCAAACACGGCAAAGTGTCATTTTCTAGAAACTGGTCTCTCCTGAGCACTGGTTAGTAATAACCAGTGTCGTTTCTGCCACAACCTCTCAGCTCAACAGCTGTGAATTTAATGAGCTCTTTTGAGTCTTTATATGGCTAGTTATTCATTTTTAAATGTTCAAGGCTCCAAGTTTATACACACGGTTGATAAATAGAAGAGTCCATGTTCAAGCTTTCAGAAAATACTGTCAAGAAGCTGGTTTTCTTAGTGTCTGTAAGTACTACCATGTACCACAATGGTGTCTTTTTCCCTTAGGTGCACTTAGAACTCCCACCCAGCTCTTTGATGGTACAAACTCAAGAAGATTTTGATTTGCTGAAAGCCAGCAATTGTAGCAGATACGAAGTCCTTAAGGAGATCCTGACATCCCTTGGCCTAAGCTGTGAAGTGAGACAAATTCCTGCCCTAACGCCTCTCCATTTGCTGTCAGCTGCTGAGGTGAGGACAAGTCACCGCAGTGTGGCTCGTTTTTTAAATCTTTCTATCGTGAATTGAGTGAAGATGCATAGAACAAATTATCAGTTTTAATCAGTTTTACGTTCACCGAATCCTATACTGCGTTCCAGCTCCATGATTGCAGTCCCCTCAGTGTACCATAAGCTATCGCACTTTCTCCCTGCGTTTGTTTCCAATTCCTCTTTCTTTCCCGGTCCTTCTGGATGGTGTCCTGAGGTAAATGCTGCCTTTTTGATCTCTAACAGTTGACCATTCTATGGTGTGGGTGCCTTACTAGTGTTGTTGTCCCCTTCATGTGAGCCCAGGGGGTGGGTTCACTTCCAGACCTGAATGATGACTAAGGGCCATATTCTTGGGGGTCCACTAGTCTCTATCTGACCAGTAAGCTGGATCTTTTTTTTTTTTTTTATGATTTTGAGTTTCATTCCACATTTTCTTCCACTTTAGAAAGGGCCTTCTGATGTGATCCCTTTCAGAGCATTTGGTAGTGGTAACCAGAAACCATCACATTCTTCCGGTCTCAAGGTCTTGGAGACAACTAATCTATTGGACTGATTGTTTCCAAGTGTCTTCAATTTTCATTACTCTTCTTTTCTTTCTTCTGGCTAGGAAGAGACACATAGTTGCACCTTAGATCGACCGACCCTCATAAGCTTTTAAGATCCTTATTGTTACTAACCAATGTAGGATGTAGCACGTTGTCTTAACCAATGTAGGATGTAGCATGTTGTCTTAATGGACTATGTTCTAAGTATGATTTTTATAAGAACACTGACCCTTTTTCCTACTTGTCTCATTTTGCCGATGCATTTCTATTTGGAAACCATCTTAAATACGTCCAAGTATAACTAAAATTTTTTAAAATGTTGGTGCTTGTGAGGGAGAGACAGAGAAGACGATTGGAGTTTGTTATTGTTAGCTGCCATCCTGTAGAACTCTGCCTCACAGTGACCCCACGTGCAGCTGAACGAAACACCAGTCCTGAGCCAAACCCATGATCAGTTGAGGATCAGACCATCTTGATCCAGAGAGTTTTCATTGACTGATTTTCATAAGTACATCACCAGGCCTTTCTTCCTAGTTTGTCTTATCTGGAAGCTTTGCTTAAACCTGTTCAACATCATAGCAACACGTAAACCCGGTCCACCGACAAACAGGTAGTGGCTGCACATGAGGTGCCTTGGCTGGGAATCAAACCCAGGTCTCCTGCAGGGAAAGTGAGAATTCTACCACTGAAAAACCCATGCTTTGCTCTTGGAGTTGGAAGGTGTCAGGTCTTCAGGTTTGGGCCCTTTATACTTTAGAAGCCAAAAAGTCACTGTTTTATGTGTAAAGAATGTACTTGAAACCAAAATTTTGGCATTAAAAACGTTTGGTTTAATTTGGGCCTTTCTCAGCAAAACTTGGAATGGGAAAATCACAACTTTTGTTTTATTTGTGCTGATGTCTACTGTCTTGTGGCAAAAAAGGCTGTGAATTTTAGCTCATCTCTTTTCTAGTCGTGTCTCAGAGGAAAATGTCCAAGGAGATGAGAAGGCATTCTGGCACTTTCCTGGCCTTTTGTCTGCATTTGATGGCTGTGACTGATAGTTCGTTGTGGGCAGGTTGCCAGATTCCCCAGGTGTGTTTTTTCTCTAATCCCTTTGCTTTGCCCAGCTGTCAATTTCTTGTTAATTGGGGCAAATTGCTTTGTGGGTCCATTTCTGTTGTCTTCCTTACACAGGTAAGTTTGTGAGTTTAGTCCAGGTGATTACTCTCCACCCCAAATTTACCTGCTTTCTCTTGAAAAGAACAAGTCACACCCTCAAATCCACATTTTTAAAAGAGGAGACATTTTCCTTTGGGCTAAACCCTTCCTCTTAGCAAATTTAGTTTTCTGAGGAAAGCAGAGCGCAGTCAGGGTTAGGGTATGATATGCTCGCTTAGAGAAGCCAGGTATAAGATCTGAGAGCATTTAGGATTAGGAAACATTACAGAATGTTTTGAAGACATACATGATAGTTCTGCAAATTGTATCATTTAAATTAAGGAGTTCTGGTAGCGTAGTGGTTACGAATTGGGCTGCAAACCGCAAGCTCAGCAGTTCGCAACTACCAGCTGTTCTGTGGAAGAAAGATGAGGCGTTCTGCTCCTGTAAAGATTTATAGCCTCAGAAACCCTGTTCAGGGTCTCTATGAGTCAGAACTGACTGCATGGCACATAACCACCACCACAGTGTAGCATTGTGGGTTAATACGTTGGACTGCAAAGTTGGTTTGGACGCAAGGTCGGCGGTTCAAGTTCACCAGCTACTCCTCAGAAACCCTACACAGGGTCTCTATGAGTTGGAACCGACTTGATGACACTAAACCACACAGCAACAGTTATTATTGGACTCCTGGTGTGGCGCTGTAAAATCGGCACTGGACTGTGAACCACAAGGTCAGCAGTTCAAACACACCAGCTGCTCCTTGGAAACCTTATACAGGATTGCTATGAGTCAGAATTGACTCAACGGCACTAAGAACAGTAACAAACAGTTATTATTATTAGGTCATTTGAAAGTCTACTGAGTTAATGTGTATGGTGTGTTTAGTGGCTGTTTGAGGAGCCTGGTGCTGCAGTGGTTAAGTGCTTGACTGTTAACTGTAAGGTTGGTGGTTTGAACCTACCAGCTGCTCTGCGGGAGGAAGATGTGGCAGTATGCTTCTGTAAAGATTACAGCCTTGGAAGCCCTATGGGCCAGTTCTCCTCTGTCCTATAGGATCACTGTGAGTAGGCATCAACTCTACAGTAATGATCTTAGTGCCTAGTTATTGCTGTTAGTTGCCACTGAGTTGGTTCCGACTCATGATGACCTTTGTATTGTTGTTGTTGTTAAGTGCTGTTGAGTCGGTTTCGACCCATAGTGACCCAGTATAGGATTTCCAAAGAGTTTGAACTGCCGACCTTGCAGTTGATGCCACACCAGGACCAAATGTGGCTCAGTCTTGTGTTTTCTTCTCACTCACTGTCATATTTAAGCCCATTGTTGCAGTTAACTGTGTGGTGTCTCCTAACTTACTGAGACAACTCTTCCAGCACTATTTCAGACTGTGTTCTGTTATGTTCTATAGGCTTGTCACTGGCTGATTTTCAGAAGTAGAACATTAGGACTTTGCTCCCAGTCTGTGTTAGTCTCAAAGCTCTGCTAAAACCTGTCCACCATGAGTAACTCTGCTGGTGGGACACAGCTTCCAGCATCGTAGCAACATACAAGCCACTGCATGACAGCATAGACATGTGAGTGCTGGTTGCTTTTTACACACACACACAGAAACGCTCTAAACAAATGACAGGCTGAACACACTCTCACATCAGAACCGAAGAAGAGTAAATTTTAGAAATGTTCATTTCTCATTGGGGGTCCTTCATTGATTTTCTTTGCTATCTGTGCAGTAGTCCACTTTTCTCTCCCAGTTGCTGATCTCTGACTTGGTTCTGTTTTATTCTGGGACTCCAAGGGCTAAGTGAGTATATGTGTGATTTTTGTGCATGCCCTTACTTTTATTATTCTTTTTTTAAATCATTGTTATTGTTATTAGTGAGGTTTGTGGCACATTATAAGCTTTCAGTAAATAAATGAAAATTTTTAGCCTTCTATTTCCCCAGTAACCAGATTCTGATTTATGGTGGGCCCATGTGTGTCAGAGTAAAACTGTGCTCCACACGGTTTTCATGATTGTGACCTTTTGAAGTAGGTTACCAGACCTTTCTTTTTACAATTTTTTATTGTGAATTGAGTGAAGGCTCACAGAGCAGATCATCAGTTTGACATTCTACAAATCATACACTTTGTTTAATCTCACTTATGCCACTTCCTCCTTGTGTTTCTTATTTCTATTCCTCCTCCTGTCCCAACTCCTCTGTAATTGTGTCTTTTGGTAAATGCTTCCCCCCCCCTTTTTTTTTTTTTAAAAAATATTTTATTGTGAATTATGTGATAGTTTTACATGGTAGAACATTAGCTTTACATTCATCCTATTGTATATCATTTCATTGCCATGGTTACAGTCCCCTCCATGGATCATTAACCAACCAAAGGGTATATATACCCTTGCAAGCCTACCCCCCAGTCATCAGCACACAGCCCCTCTCCCTCTCTGGGTCTAAAGTCCCCAGCCGCTCCATCTTGCCACATCATCGTCTCTGCCGCCATCTCTGAAATACTTCCCTTTTGGTCCTGATGCTTGGCCATTCTGTGATGTGCATACCTCACTAGTGTTGTTTCCCCACTTTATACCTGTCTGCTGGGAGTCCTGGTGTTGCACTGTGGGTTAATGCACTGGACTGCAAAGTTGGTTTGAATCACAAGGTTGGTGATTCAAGCTCACCAGCCACTCCTCGGAAACCCTATGCAGTGTTGCTATGGGTCAGAACTGACTCGATGGCACTTAACAACAACAATAACATACCTATTTGCTGCTCTGTGCCCTCGTTTCTCAATGGCTAATAACTCCTCAGTGAAGACCTTGGGTCTTCTGTTGTTGTGAAGTACCGTCGAGTCGATTCTGACCCATAGCGACCCTGTATAGGGTTTCCGAGGAGCAGCTGGTGAGCTTCAACTGCCAACCTTGCAGTTCAAATGGCTTTGCAATCTGGTGCATTTACCCACAGTGCCACACCAGGACTTCTGTAGAAGGAAATAAATGTTAGACGTGGGGATTTTCTATTATGCTTTCCTGGGATAAAAGTTCTGTAAAAGATTTGGTACAAATAAATGGTCAGACAGACACTTACTGATTAGGATGGTTCTCCTGGAAGCAGCTGGATGATTCTTCTTGCTTTCCTCGGATGTCAAGGGCAAGACATCAGGGAGCTCCTTCTAGGCAATGTGCTGGTGCCTTGAGCATAGAATTGACTAGTCCTTTCTGTTTTTTTTGCAGTTCATCTTAACAGACCTAGTTGGTCCCCATAGAATTAAGTTACATGGAGTGCACCTTGGAAGTCGGTCCTCTGCTACG